CCGGATTTCCCGTGAAGATGTCAGGGTAAGGTATAATGCATCCCATCCTCTCTCTTAAAAGCAAAGCTATCACACAACTATCCTCCACCTCACATTTATTTGTTTGTTTGCTTGAGATATAGATATAGAGTATGACCTAAGTAACAATCTCCCTTACGCACCCTCAAAATACAAATCTCAAATGATCCCCCATCCCCTCCAAATTAAATATTTAAATAATTTTAAAATCCCATGTTAGTATTTTCCTGATTGTAAAGTCGGAGTGTAGCATCCCCACACCCAGTTATCCCATCGTGGTACCCCCAATTAACACTTTCAAAATGTAATTCCCCAACCTATTGGAAATACGGGTAGGGACCTGTCTTCCCAACTAAATTACCTAAAAAAAGAAAAAAAAACAAAAAAAAAAAAGGCGCAAACTTTGATTTGGAGCTTATCATTCCAAAATAAAAAAAAAAAAAAAGAAGGAAAGGATAATTGGATTTGGGAATAGCCCAAGAACTGGATTTTTAGATTTTTGAGTTCATGTTGTTGGATATTTGATACTTAGAAACTAAGAGACTTTTGGCCATCTGCGAATGTGAGAGAAAAAGGCTACGAATTCAAATGATAAAAATAAGCTTGCCTCTCGGTTGATTTTGAATGAACATGGGTGTTGGGTGTTGTGTGCCACTTGGGTTCATCCTGCTTCTGCAATTTCATGATAACTAAAATCCAATAACATCCCTCCAATGATAATTAAACGCAGCGGCTAGCTTGGATTTTATACATTAGGGCAATAAGTTTCGTCCCACCATGTCACTGCACTCACCCTTTGCAAACCGTGGAGAGGTGGACAAAGTGATCCAAACCGCCCAATATGTGGACCCCACCTGCTATTTTTTTAAAATTGTATGCTATGATACTATTTATATTTGTTACATGGAGATCGCAATTCTATATTACCTCTAACATATAAAAGATATATATTTCCCCATCTAGCCGTGCAATTTAGATCAAGTGAGTCATTAACCGTTTGATCTAGATCTTACGTTTCAGAATATTTTATTTTTAATTTTACTCCTACGAATTATACGAATATGAAATTTGAAATGTGCCATCATCTGAATGGGACGCATCTAAAAATACTTTCAATAAAATATAATGATCAAAATACCCCTAAAACTTTTAGAGGTATTTTATTCGAAATATTTTTTTATATTTTTTACAGGTGCAAGAGTAAGAGATGAGTGGAAGCCCAAAATTTGGTGTCAAAATATTTTGTAGAAGAAACGTTATAAATAAAATAATGTAGAGGTGTGACATTGTGATTGGGGCCATCTAAATTGTCCATTCATAATGGACGGTTAGATAAGGAGAAGTTTATAAGTTTTATAAAGTAGAGGAAGTATAGAAAGCATGCCAATTACATAAAGCATTAGATGTGGATGGTTTGGGGTATGTAATGAGGTTCAAGAATCGCTTTTTTAACTTTGACTCTAGTCCATGACACATATTTGATATATGAAGGAAAAGAGTAATTACAGCCTCCTTATACCAAAAAGTAAAAAGTGAAGTTTCTATAAGGTTGCAACTTTAAACAATCCAATTAAGGCGCACTTTAAATTTTTATTATAACATGTAATTTTGTTGTAAAAAATACTTAATATTATCTCAAAATCTATTTTATTACTTAAATAGAAAATTTAAATTCCAAAAATGGTTAAAATCAAGTAGATTTAAAAATATATGAAAATCTTTAAAATGGACGGTCTAGATAATGTGTGGCAAGATGCACTAATTTCGGGACTAAAAAATAATTTTTTTTCATATTCATGCATCTCGATGTCGTGATGATCAATTAGATGGTTTTTTCAACATTAAAACGACATTTTCGATAGTTTTTTGAGGTGCATATGTAATTCTACATTTAAAAGTTGCAACCTTATATAAACTTTTATCTGGTTGTATACTTTTTCCTATTTTTTTACTTTTGCTAGATAAAAATCTGGCTATTTTGTCCCTCATTTGGAAATCCAAGGCTTACAAAGTGGATATTTGTAAAGACAGCTGCTGATCTCCACTTTTTTGGCATCCTTTGGATAAAGTTCAAGTGAAAGACAAATTATTTTCTTAATATCGAATGCGAATGGTTATGTACTATATGAGAATCTTTCCCTCACCCTACACAAAACATGTCATCTTCCTAAGCCTAAACCGTCCAACAAAAATTGGGAAAAGGGATGAATCTCAGCCATCCACCGAACTTGACCATGCACGAGATTGTCGCAATGTATCATACATGTGCACACCACTAGGTTCTCTAACCCCCATACCCTAACTTTATTGGGCCTTTATCTTTCTTTTCACCACCCTTCTAAAGCAACCGACCTTTTCTCCTCAAGGAAATACTTACATACCCACTTCCTAAAGGATAAGTTTAATAATTGTTGGACCTTACTGAAATTAAATTCACATGGAGAGCACCATCTTTTCCCCCTAAATTTAGTGTGCTCGCCACATTTAGTTGAGCATGCCAAAGGTTATATTTACGACTACTCTTTGTCTCTATTGAACTGGATGTGGTCCATGAGGACTACCTTCTACCTTGATCTTGCATATGGCCACTTTAGTGTGTCGATTCTTTGTTCCATCCTTTGTTTTTTTCGATTTCCGCTTTCAGACCTGCCTTTCTCGCATGCGCACCAAAATATCCTTGGCAAGTCAAATTCTTGGTTTTTCTTGGTATCCTCATCTTTTCTCTAAATGGCAAAATATTTTTTTAAAATGATTTACACACGGACACTAACTTTTTTTAAAATACCAAATGATCCATAGGTGAAAGTTACAAGGGAAATTATCAAAAATATATATTAATTTTCGTTTTATTGAAAAAAAAACCTGAACTTTCATGAGCCTCGTCCAAAACATTTTTTTTTAATTTTGACATTTTTTTTACCGTAATTACTAGCATTACGATACTTTATGATAGGGCCTTCATTCTAATGCAACTACGGTTAAAGCTATTTTGGTAAAAAAACAATATCAAAATTAAAGAGAAAATGGTAAAAGTTGAGGTATTTTTCCAATTAGACAGAAACTAAGGTATATTTTTCATAATTTCTCAAATAACAAAGAAGATTGGTTAACCCGTATTTTTTTAATTTTTCAAAGTTGCCCCTCGGCTTGAGGATTCCTTCATAGATCATATTTTATTTTGTTTTATTTTTTTTAGTTTTTCTATTAGTAGGGAAACTAAAATTAAAATAAAAACTAACAAAAATACGAAAAAAATAAAATTCAGATCTTCGGACCGAGAGGCGATTTTGAAAAAAGCAAAAAAAATGTGTGTTGACATATCTCCTTTGTAATTTCCACTTATATATGGAGCATTTTGTATTTTAGATAATATTTTAGGCTCACTCTTCTGTTCTTTTTCTTTTTTTTTTTGTCATTCTTGAAGGAACATACAGTTGGAGAAAGTACAATCTCCCTTGCATCTTTAACCTTTTCTTGCTCTTCTTTTGTCCCCTTTTGCAGAGCAATACTGTGAATCTGGTGCTGAGGCGTCCATAACCAAGGCCAAATGTTCAATAATTCTTAAGCATCAGTTTGGGTCCCTAGGCATACCCAATATTTTACTTCGTCGACTTATCTACTCAAAAATAAAATAAAAAATGGAGTTTCGCCCTTGCTTTCTGAAAAACATTGTTTTCGGGAAGCGAGCAACGAATGGCCGGTAACACTATTTGGTTAACAATAAAAGAAATTAAACCAAAAAGTTAAACCCAAGACCAGAATATTTTTGTTTGTCATGGGTGGGATTTTCCAAAACATTTTTTTTTTTTGTGAATCTTTCGATTTTCCAAAACTTTAGAAGCTTTGGAAGGTTTGGAGAATTGAGTTAGAGTGAAAACGGCAATATTTTTCTTGAAAGTTTGGTATTTGCAGCTTTTTGTGTATGTTGAAGATGTCCTAATCTATGCATGCGCCGTAGGCACAGAGAAACCATGTAATCGCCAAATTGATGAGCGAAGATTAAGGTTAAAAGCTTGTAAGAACAAGATTAAGATTAAAAGCTTGTAAGCGGAGGGCCTCTCTTAAACCCTAGAACCAGACCAAGAGAGCCTATACACTTAGTAGTGTATGCCATGTTCACACCAGTCTAGAAAATTTCGGACTCGCCACCCTGGCGAGTCTGGGTATCCACGAGTTCGGTGCTCCTACTTAAAGATCTTTAAAAAAATACAACAAGAATTATAACAATAAATAAAATAATAATTTTATTTATAATATGCTCTTTTTATATACTTCCTATCATTTGACAAAGATTAGAAAGTATTTGTTTATCATGAATACTTAGTTTTATATTTTTCCTTCTTTTTAGATTATTTTTAAAATACCACCGTCACAAAATTGATTTTTTTTAAAATCTAATTTTCACTTCTTTTTTTTTAAACCTCATTTAGATGTATTTTGCTTAAGGGTGCAGTTGGCATACATATGCATCCGTAGGTGTAGAGGTAAGGTGCACGTTCAAATTTTATCATGGTATATAATTTGATGTAAAATGTTCTTAGGATTATCTCAAAATCTATTTTTATATCTAATTATAAAATTTTAAACTTCAAAAATAGTCAAAATCAAGTAGATATATAAACATATGAAAATATTGAAAATTGACGGTGTAGATAATATGTTGTAAAATGCACTATTTTTAAGGCTTAAAATCTTTTTATTTTTCATAGTCATATATGATCAATCAAAGGGTTTTTCAATATTAAAACTACATTTTCTGATGGATTTTTGAGGGGCATCCGTAGTTCTACATTATAAAGTAGTATCTATTCATAAATTTTTTCCTTTGTTTAATTTTACTTTTGAAACATATTTTTTAAATATTTTTAAAAATTTTATATTTTTATTTTTTAGCGGGCCCAGCTCAGCCAAAGTTCGCAATGAAAAAAAGGGGACAGATTAACGCAGTTGGATAGGGCACAAGCCACACAACAAACAATGCAAGCTCCAATTGATCTACACCGTCCATCATGAGGTACATACATGGTACACCAACAGTGTAACGAACTTGTCAGAAGTATGAGCATATCCACAACCACTGTTTGATTGAGCATCTGTTTCTTTTAACGGTGCTTACGACTTTCAAATTCACCACTCACTCACAATTCCATACTCGCACGAGTCAAAGACAATCATACGTGTGCCAAAACATAGCAAAGCAGTAAATAAATGGGCATGGAAGACATATATGAGCCTCGTGATCAAATAGTAAGCGATCGATATCACCTCACCTTCTTCTCCCTCTGCTTTGAATTTTCAATCAATCATCTTTCGTTCTGAACTTTTTGCATCTTTGATTCTCTATCCTTAATGTCTTCTTAAGAACAAGGAAATACAGAACCTGAAATCCCTATTCTTGATTTTCGGGCTGTTCTTCAATAAATTCCGACCAAAGTTCAGGCTAATTTCACCCCAAATTGGAGGTTTTGATCACGGATTAACCAAAAAAATGCAGTGTGAGAAGAAATTTCAGGCGGATTTTTAACCTGAGGGATGAAAGGAGAGGAAGGCCAAGAACAACGCGATGAAGAGGGAGAAAAGGATGAGGAAAGCCGGGGACCGCCAGAAAACCCAAATTCCAGGGATCCGTTGGCCGGAATCCGGCAACTGGTCGTCCTAATCTCCAGTGTAATCGCCCGAACTTACAGCACAAAGGTATTTTCCATCAAATGGCAGGCCATTCGAAACAAGCTCGACCACCTGAGCTCAGGCCTCGCAACTGCTTCGGGCTTCAACAATTCCAGTGAGAATCCCAGGTTTTCCGACCTAATTCCGGCCGTAACATCGACCCTCCATTACTGCGAAGACCTAGCTCGAAGTTGTACAGAGCTCTCCTATAGTGGGAAGCTTCTGATGCAGAGTGACCTAGACGTGCTTTCAGGCAAGCTCGACCTCCATCGCAGACATCTTGATGAGGTCTACAAGGCAGGGATTTTACCACACAATTACGCCATTATTGTTTCTCGACCTCCTCCTGGTTCTTCACGCCAAGACATGAACTTCTTCGTGAGAGATCTCTTCACAAGGTTACAGATTGGTAATCAAGAAATCAAGAACCAGGCTCTTCTGGCCCTGAGCGAAATCCTTGAAGAAGATGAGAAATACGCTAGGGTGATATCAGAAACAGGGGATATGGATTACCTGGTTAGGCTCTTGGACTCAGAGGACCCCTCAGTCAAAGAGAAAACCACCATTGTCGTCTCTTCAATCGCAGGTTTCGAGGCCTGCAAAAGCCAGTTAATAGAGGCGATGGCGATACCTCCGTTGATTAGGGTTTTGGAAACCGGTGGTGCTTTGGCAAAAGAAAGCTCTGCAACTTCTCTGTACAAACTGACACTGAACTCTGAAAACGTATGGTCTTTGACGGCTCATGGAGGTGTGACCGCTCTTTTAAAAGCGTGTCGACAAAGTAATGGCGCCGTTACGGCTCCGTCAGCTGCGGTTCTGAGGAACCTTGCATCAGTTGACGAAATCCGTCGATTCATGGCGGAGGAAGGTGTCATCCCTGTAATGGTGAATCTCTTGAGATCTGGACACGAAGCTGCGAAGATATATGCATCAGAGTTTCTGCAACTTATGGCGGGAACGGATGAGAATAACAGAGAGGAAATCGTCAGAGGAGGAGGGATCCAAGCTCTGGTTTCCCTTTTGGAAACGAGTTCTTCATTGAAAGCTCGAGATTCAGGGTTTCGAGCCATCCAAACCTTTTGTTCTTCTCCGAAATATGCGTGTCCTTTAATCGGATCTGGTTTCCTTCATCAGGTCCTTGTGTTCTTGAAATCAGGTGAGTTTTCAGGCCAAGAACCAGCACTCAAAGCCCTGCTTAAGATCTCTATGATTTCTGATGAAACAAAGAAAGCCATTGGAGATGCCGGATTGATGGCCGAGCTCGTGAAACTACTCGATGCAAAGAGCCCTGTTGTCAAAGAAACAGCGGCTGAAACCCTTTCTTCTCTTTTGATGCTTTCAAAGAACAGGAAGAAATTTCTAATGGAGGATTACAATGTGTCTAAGCTTCTGCAACTTCTTGATCCAGAGGATGAAAAGCTCATGTTCAAAAAGTTTCTTCTCTCTGCTCTTGTCTCCATAACCAGGAGTAACAGCGGACGAAAGAAGATTGCATCCTCTGAATCTCTGCAATACCTACAAAAACTTGCAGAAACTGAAGTTATAGAAGCAAAGAGGGTCATCCGAAAGCTCTCCGGAAACAAATTGATGAGTATCTTGAGTGGAAAATGGAGAGCTTGAATCAATGGATTCCCTCTACTTTTCTTGTACAATTGTGCTGTTTAACTCCTCTCTTATTAGAACAACGGACTCAAAAAGGAACTCATTGTCCATTAAATCTCTGCCTTTCTGAGGTAACTAGTTCGAGATATTCAGAGAATCAGTGTAGTGTAGCTAAATACCTAATTCTGCATTTGAATTTCACTTTAATTCTTTTTTCCTTTTTTTAGGATTGCTGAGATCTGAGCAGTGTATATGGTATTTTTTAATGTCTCCATAAATGCAACAAAATACATTATTCTCTATTCTTTTCCTCTGTAATTGCTGAACATTCTTTAGATTTGTACTTCGTTTTGAGTCCCCGAGTCTCTGAAAGTTGCAGAGTTGTTCTGCTTATTGGAGAGAGATTTACTCTTGTGCATACTAGACAGTAACATTAGTGTAATAACTCATCTAAAGTAGCTTAACAATAATATTAGAACGACTCTAATATTGTATATTGCTAGGTTTTTGCCGAAAATCTGTGTTAAACCATACTATGCTCATTTGCAACATGGGCGACAAAATAAAGTTGATGGGTGAGAATAACAATTACTTTATTCCAGTCTTTGATTACTCAGGTGCGAACGAACTCGAACCCGCCACGTCCGACGCGCCACCCTAGCAAGTCCGAATATCCTCAGGGGAAAGTCAACTCGAGATCCAAAAAAAATAAAAAATTTATAAAAAATCTAAATAATAAGAAATTTATATATAATATATTTTTTCCAGAAAAGATTAGATGTTGATTTCGCCTGAATAGTTATTTTTACATTGTCCCTGTTTTTTGGATTATTGTTAAAACACACTGGTCACATATTGATTTTTTCAAAACCCTTACTTTTTAACATCATTTAATTGTTCTCTTTTGTTTAATTTTATTTTAAACATATTTTTCTATTTTTCAATATTTTTTATATTTTATTTTCTACACTTTTATGCTTGGCCATGACCCGGCATGAGCGAGTCCCATCCCCGAGTTGTGGTTTCGAACACCCCTTCATCCTGGCGCCAGATATGAGATGTGGATCATTTAAGCACAAATTGCGTTGTCCACTTAATTACCATAGCATTTGTGTTGCACTTTCATATTTCTCCCTCTAATTCTTTCGGCATAACATATCAACATTTCTCCCTCTAATTCTTTCGGCATCACATACCATTTTTTCACATTTCTATTGCCTGTATTTTTTGAACCAGCCAAAGCAGATGTACTTTGCACCGTCCTCCATGTTAGATGCATTGATTCGAGACTTATATGTTTCCTTCTCTGTGATTAGAATTTGTAAAATTACGCAATTTCTCTCAAAATTTTATTTTAATTAAAATTTTACTACTTGTTTTTAACTATATTACCAAGATTAGCTTGCTCCTCGGGAGCATATACTGCATAACAACTCCCTCAGTCAAAATAGATTCTTGGGAGAATTTCTTTGATTCAAAATTTAGGGATCCATATAAATATCATCATATGATTAATTTTAAAGAAAGAAATGTGGATTATGAGTTTTTGAACATCGAGATTTGTTCCTCAAAAAATTGGATGGTTCTTGTGCAATCTTCGGATGTCATGTATTGTAGACACATAGAGAGTATAACTTAAATTTCTTTCTTTTTGTGGATAGATATTATACTCCTATGGGAATATAAAATATTGGGAAAATATATCAATACCTCCTATTTTAAGTTTTCATTTTACAAGAGACCCAAGGTTTTAAAAGATATCTTTGAGCATAAAAATGATAGATTTTATTTCTTCTAACCCCCTGAACATTTTAGGCCAAACAAATCTAAAAAGACATATATTTTCTAAAAACCATCATCTCAAAGTTCTCTCTCATTCTCTCTCCCGCACCCTTTCTCTCTCTCCGTCTTTATCATATCTAACCCCTCGCTCTCTCTCCTCTTTCTTTCTCTTTTCACATTTCACATCTCTCTCCCCTCACAATCCTTGCTCCCAAAATACACAGTTAGTATACAGAGAGAAAGAGAGATGTTTGGATAAACACAAGGAGAGAGAGAGGTGTTTGGTGGTGAGAGGTTACCAGGACGAGAGCGTAAAGTATTTTGATAAACACGAGAGGAGAGAGATGCTTGATGGTGAGAGGTTATCGGGAGGAGAGAGAGAGAGAGAGAGAGGTGTTTGGATAAATATGCGAAGAGAGAAAGAGATGTTTTTGGATAATACGTGAGGAGAGAGACAGAAAGAGAGAAGTTTGGGGTATATAAATGAAGTGAGAGAAGTGATTAGGTTTAGAAAGAGCATGTCTTTCTCACATTTGTTTAGGTTAAAAAATATATGTACGCCCTTGCTATATCGATACGTCCTTACTATATTTGTTCACACTCCCCCTCAAAATCGAGATGATTTGAAAGAAATCATAAAGTGTTTGTAAATAAATTGCGAAAAGTGATGTGGAGAATGAGATTTTGTAAAGAAGCTTGTGAGCTGAGCAGTGGAAGCACATAGGGCAGATAAATTATGCTTATCAAATATTCTTGACGAACATGATGATAATGGACTTCAATATATTTGGTACATTCATGAAATTCTAGATTTTTGAACTATATATAGCACTCTTGTTATCACAATAAAATGGCATGGGAGTGGTAATAATAACACCCATGTTTGTGAGCAACCAACGGAAAACAATTTCAGTGGTAATTTATGTCATAGCTCAATATTTAGCTTCAGTAGTAGATTGGGCAATACATTTTTATTTCTTACTTTTCCAAGATATAAGAGAATCGCATAGGAAAATGCAAAATCATGTAAAGACTTGCGATCATTGGGTTACCTGCAAAATCTGAGTTTGTGGATGCCCTGAGCTTAAGCAAGGAAGAAGATGAGAAGAATAAAGCCTGGTGACAAGTATCCCTAATATAACAAACGATGCGCAGAACAACAGCTAGAGGAATAGAACGAGGAGCACTCGGAAACTGACTAACCATATGAATTGCGTAAGCAATATCTGGGTGTGAAATTGTAAGATGTATTCGTTTCCCAACGAGTGATCTGTAAAAGGTTGGATCAGGAAGAAGTTTACCATTGTAGTTCAAAATTTAGCATTTAACTCAATAGGGGTATCAACTCTCTATGTATCATCCTTTAGTCGAGCTTGTGAAATAATCTCTTAAGCATATTTAAAATGTGAAAGCAAGCCGCAAGGCGAATAAGTGACTTCTAACCTAAAAAAACGGCGCAAGAACCCCAAGTATTTCATTTCGAATGTTTGTTTGAGCTTCTGTTTAATCTTATGAATTGTCCCCATAGCATTGCCAGAAATGATCATGTCATCCACATATAGCAACAAGAGGGCTCACCCTTAAGAAGTTTCAGACACAAATGGGGCCTAGGTCGTGATGGCTATGTCGAAATCTAACAGAAAGGACATCACTGCGAAATTTCTCAAACCAAGCACGGGGTGCTTGTTTGAGTCTATAAAGAGCTCGTCGAAGTTTACACACTCTATCTTGAGAATATGTAATTCCATGAGGTAGCTTCATATAAACTTCATCATCAAGATCTCCATTGAGAAAATCATTTTTTACATCGAGCAGATAAAGGGGTCATTATTGGATGGAGGCTACTGAAATCAATGTTCGAACAATAGTCATATGGGCTATTAGGACAAAAGTTTCTACAAATCAATCCCATATTGTTGGTTATAACCTTTTACAGCAAAACAAGCTTTATATCATTCAATGCTGTCATTAGCCTTTCTTTTGATTTATACCCATTGACATCCAACAATTGTCTTTCCTTTTGGAAGAGGTACAAGATCTCAAGCATGCATGCGATCAAGAGAATTTAACTCATTTGTCATTGCCAGTGTCTACTTAGGCTGATTTGCAGCTTCTTTGTAGGTCTAGGATTCATAATAAGAATGAACAAAAGTGAGAAAGCCTCGGTGCTAAGGTAAGAAGGTTTCATAGTTAGATAAATGGGCATGCGTGACAGAGATATAGGTGCTTCATCTAATAATAGGAAGTGGCACAGAGTCAGCAGGTGCAGGTGTTTGATTAAGACTGTCAGCAATTGGTTGAGCTTCTTCTTGGTCTTCGAGTTGAGGGACAAAAGATGAGTGTTTAAGACAGATTGGAATAGAACCAGAGAAAGGTACTGGAAATGAAAAAACTCAGAGGATGAGCTACAATCTTATTTTTGAAAAAAACAAATATGCTCAGAAAACAAAACATGTCTGGATACCCAAAATTATTTGGTCATAGGGTCATAACATTTGTATCCTTTTGGTGATTAGGATAGCCTATGAAACAACATTTTACAATCTTAGGGGATAGCTTGTCTCTCTCAGTTGAAGGTAACAAAACAAAACAATTACAAACCAAACACACGTAAAAGTGAATACAGAGGTGATCAAGTGAACAATTTTGCAAAGGGTTATTGGGATAGAAGTGGGCAAAGAGGTGCTCGTGATGATTTTTATGCTCTGTAACATCATTTTGTTCTAGAGTATAGGGATAGGTAATGTGTTTAATGTTTTTGTCAGTGAAAAAGTTATGTTGCAACCCATTGAGATATTCCCCTCTAGAATCTGAGCGTTTTAACTCTTGTAGAAAATTGGCTTTCTACATATGAATAAAAGTGAGTGAAAATTCTATAAAGTTTAGTGTAATTATTCATAAAGAAAACCCATGTATGACGAGTATGATCATCAATAAAGATCACAAAATATTGTGTTCCACCTTTAGATAGGATAGGTGCAGTCCCCCATACATCAGTATGTACAAGATCAAATAAAGACGATGAAATAAAACTACTTCGAGAGAAGGGTAAAGCATGAGATTTTGCAAGCTTTCAAGTTTCACAATGTTTGACATTAGTAAAGCTTTTATTTGCAATAATACCAAGAACATTACGAGATAGTAAAAATTGCAACCGAGAAGATGAAATGTGACCAAGGCATTGATGCCACCAAGATGTGTCATCAATCGCAGAAATATCAAAGATGGAAGAAGTTAGCATATGAAGAAAGTCCAGGTAGTATAGATTCCAACTTTATGCCCAATCCTAATCATCTTCTCTGATTGCCAATCCTATATGTGACAACCAGATAGATAAAAGGTAACATTATAATTTGTGCAAGTAATTTGACCAACAGATAAGAAATTCATGGTAATTGAAGGAACATGGTGGACATCAGAAACACTTAATTTATCAGAAGGATTAGAAATAGGGGATATAAAACCAAATTTTGAAACTTTCATAGTAGCTTCAACAACAGTATAAATAGTATCAAAAAAAGACTAACA